TAATATGAGTCCTTATATTGTATATATTGCTACGTTTTGTTACTCAACCAAAAAAAAAAATAATTAAGTCTGTTAATTATAATCATTTTGCAAAAAATGTATGTGATGGTGAAATTTTCCACATGGAGAGAGAGACGTTGAGAAAAAGAAGTACCCTTCTGGTTCATAATATAAAAGATTTTTTTTAAAAAAAAATTTCTTCCAAAATATAAAACGTGTGTTTAATAAATTTTCATCCAAAATTTTTTTATTAGTAGTTAAATAGTGATTTAATAAATTTAAGGTTAAATCACTATTTAAAAAACCTGTTTTTAAAGAGCCAATATTTAAAAAACATATTTAACTTTTGACTTTTGATCGTGTAACCAGTTTTTTAAAGAGCCACCTAGAGTTCAATATTAACAACTATAATTTGTGTGTCCCATCAAATTTTTTAACGGAAAACAAAGAAAAAATAAAAAGAAAAAAAACAAAGAAGAAAAAGAGAAAGAAGGTGTATTATCCTAACTAACAAGTGCTCTTCATATATATACCACACAAATTGAGTCAGAAGTTGAAGTAACTTGTAAGAGTGATAAAAGGAACCTAATTATAAAAAATTCAAAAAATCTAAATCCGTAAATATCTTCATTGATAATGCCATATTGCCATTAATTCTTTCACCAACTTGAATGACATTAAAAAAAAAAATCAATTATAGGCTGCTTAATCACCAGTTGGCCACAACCTTGAATGATTAGAGTGTTGATTAGGTAAGGGGTAACTTCTTCTAATTAATATACTAAAACATCAGACTTCTTTAACTATAATTTTGTTTCTATTATTGACCAATGAATAAATTCATATATTAAAATAAAATTATTGGTGTGATAGCTAGCTTGGACATCAGTATTATATAGATGACTTATGCTGATTATTTTAAAATGATTAGAATTTAAAAATTAGAAGAAAAAAAAAGATAGAGAAATATTTTATTGATTTGGTTTGAGGCATTAGGTGACTTGGGAAACTCGAAGCAAGTGACATATTAAAAAGAGAGGGTATTATTTAAATGAGTGTAATTAATTACTAATTAACCTAATCAACTTACCTTGCTGGTAATTGGTCGTCTCGGGTATTGCATTTACAAGCAATAATAAAAAAAAATAAAAAATTTATACACACACATATATATATATATTATACACCTACTATAGCACTATGCTCCATACACGTAAATTAAGCAAGATTTGTTTAAAAATTTTGGGCCAATATTAAAAATTCAGAAACAGTTATCTCGATTTTAGGGTAAACTAAGACTCGTTTCATCTATAAATTCCGAATACAAACAACTAATCGTGTTATTATAAGATAGTTAGTATAATAAATTAATATCAATTCGGTTTCCATTATAAGGCGATTTCTAAAAAGACTGAGTGATTCTTATTATAATTCATCAAGTGTAATATCAATTACATTTTTTTAAGATTATTCATATTTAAAATTTGGTGCAGTTTTCCCTTTTCCCTTTCCCTTCTCAAAATGTAATTTATGATTTTAAAACATAATAAGTAAATTTTGAAATTTTTTTTTGTGTTTAGAGCAAATTTAATGATTCAACTGCCATTCCTTGATTCCCACAAAAGAGCTAGAGATGTTTTATGATAGAGACCATATATGTGTTTTGAAGTGATTTTAAATTTTTAATTCATTATTAACAGACATATTCGGATTTCAGGATCAATGGGCTAATAATAATGCTTAGCCTAAGATATTCCAAATTATGTGAGAAAGAATAAAGAATATGCAAACGAGCATATATATAGAAAAATAATTAATAATTAGTGAATAAAATTAAAATAAATTAGCAAAGTGTGGGAAAATAGGCCCTTGTTATTTTTGGAGCTCGGATATAGGCTCCTAACTAAGTTTTTCTTTTCTATTTTTTTGTCAAATTCACCAAACTATTTAATGCATAAGTGTGCGTGTGTCTATTTTATTGTGGAAGTGGTTGTAATTTAGGCAAATTGAGGCAAATTGCCGGTAACGTTACAACTCCAACATGATATTAAACTTCTGATCTCGCAGTTTAATACAAAACGTACATTTCCTGCTAGCCCAAAGCTAGGCCTCTTTTGTTTAGTTCCAAACAGGTTTCGTGGGAGATATGTTTGACTACGTGAATTAAGAACCGTTCCATTTAATTTTGACACAAATGTGTTTCATTTTACACAAAATTTCAATTTGATTTTTTTTCCCTTTTAATTTGATAAAATATCATTTCAATCTTCTAACTCTAGCACCATTAATCTCATAAAATGACATATGAATTGTTAACATATAATCCTTTCCACATATGTCTTCATAGATGACTTGCTCATGGGATCTCAGAGTTTTCTATTTATTATTAGACTGTGATTAATCTCTAATGATTCATTATAGAGAACCTGCGTGGTATTATTTCCGGTCCTAATTATAAAATCTCGTTTGTAGACTATGAATAAAATCTTATAATTAGAACAGGAAGTAGTAATTATGAAATCATGTATCTTATAATTAGAACTGGAAGCAGTATATGAGAATCACATGATTGGAGAGGAAGCACTTGAAATGTGTGAAAGCGGCCATGGAGATATTGATACAGAACAATTTGGAGAGGGCAATTGCAGGAGACAGCACGTACACTGCTAATAATGTATTGGTTTGGCATATGTATGACTTGGGTTGTCCGTTAGGTGTTTGGTGAGCTTTTTAGCCAGAAAACATCGGCTCTCTGAAGAATAAAACATCAAATCCATAGCCAACCATGGAATGGGCGGTGTTATGATTATCTACTTCAATTTGAGGTTACTTTTTTTTTTTCTCCTTCTTATCGATTAATACTTTGGTATTTGGCTTCGATTTTTATTTTGTGTTTCAATTTTGTGGTTTTAGCTACTTAAGGTGTTTATATCATTTTGAAAAAATGAAAAAACATTCAGACTCTCTTGTTTTCACCCAAAAACGTCGTGGTTTTGGGATAAAGAATGGCAGCGGACTACAAAGAAAAAGAGAGAGACGCGAGCATTCGTGTTATGCAGCCTGTTTGGTAAGGCGCCTTGAAAGGAAAAAAGTAGTTTATAGGTGTAATAAGTCAATTTGTAAATTTAGAAACTGTTTGTCACAATTTTTAATCAATATGATTTATGGGTTAAAAATTACTTTTCTAAACTCGATTGTAAAAGCGTATAAAATTTAGTACTTGTTTGGGTCAGCATTTACTGGCTCAAATGTGGCTTAAAAATAAAAATAAGCTCGATTACACATTAAGTTTGTTTGACAAAGTTTACAGTGTATTGGGCTTATTAATTTTTAAACCATTCAAACGCCCGATTGAAATAAGCTACAAGAGGGAGCTTATGATCATAACAGAAGAGCTTATTTTGTTTTGCTTTATATTTGTAATATTTTTTTTTTCATTTCTATGATGTTTTCAAACTTGATTCACTCAATCAATTTCATTTCTTATATTAAATTAATTAAAATTTATTGTATTATCTCAATTTATTTTTTTCTCTATTTCACTTTAGATTTAAAATATCTTTTAAAATAATCAATTTTTAGTTATTTATTTTTATATTCTCTTAAGTGAAAATAATTTTTAATAGTTTTTATAATATTTTTAATTTTAATATTATTATTATGTAGAGTATATTGTCCAATTTATTATGTAATACTATTTGGTTGAAAATTTTTTACATTAATATGATTTCTAATTAAATATATTTTATTCATTAAATATAAATCTTTTCCTATTATAATAATTTGAAATTATTATATTTTGTAATTCATATTTTTAATATTTTTTATTATTTAATAAAAATCATAATCATTTTGGCCATTGTACAAACTAAACTTACTTATTCAATCATAATTCAAACAATATTTTCTTACTTTACAAACTAATTTTTATAAAAGTCAATCCAAACACAAATCACATTACCCAATTTAACATTTATCCAATCTGTTTTTGTAAAAATCATATTAAAAATAAGTTACTTTTTTCATCATAATCCAAACAGGCTCATGTTTGTCTACTTTAAATTGAGTTTGATCTTTTTTTATCAGTTAATGCCTAATATTAGTGGTAGAGGATTAAAAAAAACACTTTATAAAATAAGAAAATAAAAAATAAAGACCATGAAAATTGTAAAATCTCAAAATCACGATTTGTTATAACACTTTAATTGATTTTGATAACAATTGATTTGTAAATAACAACATATTGTTGTGAAAATATCTAATTTAAAATTTTGCAATTTCTACTGTCTTTTTTTGTTATTTTCCCTTATAAATAAAATATTATATAAAATTAAAAATTAAAGATTTTTTTTTTCAAATGTTCTTTTTTTTCCCACTCGCATTTTTTTTTTTCACTCGCAACTCTTGTGCCGGTCCATTACTTACAACACTATTTAATCCCTAGGTCCAGTAAAAACAGAGCAAAAATACAACATTATTGGAGGATGGTCAATATTTTATCTCAATTTTCATTTAAAAAGAAAAAGAAGACAAACTGATCAAATTATTAATTATTAATTATACAATAGCAATAGCGTCTAACTTTAAATAATATTAAAAATATATTAAATATTGTTTTGCCCTTTGCGCTGGGGTCTATTTAACCTTGATGCTATCCCATCTTTCTTCTTCCCCCCTTTCCTTTGTCTCTCTCTCTCTCTGTTCGCTTTTGCTTCGCTTTTTCTCACTTTCTTCTCTCATCTTCCTTTTTTCCACACCCACCCCCTCTCTCTCTCTCTGAAATCCAACTAAATTGAAACCCCATTCCATTACAATTCATCGCTTCATTCCCCCCAATTCTCCATTCTCCTCACATTGCTACCCCTTTCCAATTCTCTTTGCTTTCTAATGTGAAATCCTGAAGCATTTGCCCCCGTGTTTCTGTGAAATTCGACTCACCTGCTTCAGTTCTCGTTTGTTTCTGGTTTCTGCTTGATCTTGTGATCTCAATTGGTTCCTTCATGGAGAACGAATTCTTCCTCAATGCCGCTTCCCTTCACTTCGAACCTTCTTCTTCTTCTTCAATGCCCGCGTGGCCATCACTCTCATCCGCCATGGATGTTCAGGCTGCCGTCCTCAATTGCACTTCCGACCAACCCCACGATTGCTTTTACAACAACGCCAAATGGGATAAGTCAACGGATCATCATGGTCTTCAGTTCGATTCTGCTCTGAGCTCGATGGTTTCTTCTCCGGCAGCGTCCAATTCCAATGTTATGCCCAATAATGAGAATTCCATCATCAGGGAACTGATAGGAAAATTGGGGAACATTGGGGCATCTCCTTACGCTAATGGCGGTAATAGCACTGATACTTCGTGTTACAGCACTCCCTTGAGCTCGCCTCCGAAGATGAACATGATGAACCAGCTGGTGAAAGAGAACTTGCCCAGTTTAGGGAAATCGATGGTTTTGAATTCTAATGTTGCAGAGTTCTCACCTGATCCTGGTTTTGCAGAGAGAGCCGCCAAGTTTTCTTGCTTTGGAAGCAGGAGCTTCAATGGCAGAACATGCCAGCTAGGCATGAACAACGGTCAATTGTCTCTAAGATCTACTCCATCAATGGAAAATGAGAAGCTCGCCCGAGTGTCAAGCAGTCCTACCCTGAAAGCACTTGGATCTCAAACGGAAGTGGCGAATTCCCAAGAGGAATCGACAATCTCTGAGCAAACCCCAAATGGGGGAAATGGGGTGAATGCGAATTCGAGGAAAAGAAAAGCTTCTTCCAAGGGAAATACCAAAGAAACTTCAACTTCAACCAATCCCACTCCCAAGGTAATGTGATTTCTGATAGCAAGTCAGAATTGTTTGAATTCAGTTGTTGATTGAGTATGTTAATTGCTGAGACCAAAATGGTGTTTCCATTTGCAGGCTAATGAAACCAATGAAGATTCAAATGCAAAGCGCAGCAAGCCAAACGAGGGTGAAGGGAATGAAAATGGAACCACGAAGGCAGAGGAAGACTCAAAAGGAGGTACAAGCAATGCAGGAGATGAGAAACAGACCAAGAGTAACTCATCAAAACCTCCTGAAGCGCCCAAAGACTACATTCATGTCAGAGCAAGAAGAGGCCAAGCCACTGACAGCCACAGTCTTGCAGAAAGAGTAAGAATCACAGATCAATTCATCTCCTTGACTTTTCGCCTGGTTATATGACAGTGAGATGTTGGACTTTATCTGCGATATTTTCCCCCCAGAAAAATCTCAAAGGGCATATTCTCATGTATCAATTTGGTACATTAAGAATTTAACACCAGTCTGATTCTTGAAAAAATCAAATTAAAATTATTGGGAGGTTTCTGGTCTTTTTTTTTTTTTTTTTTTGAATATTGGTCTAAACTATTTCTGAATAGGTCCGGAGGGAAAAAATCAGTGAGAGAATGAAGCTTCTCCAAGATCTTGTACCAGGTTGCAATAAGGTACGCAGAAAAGTTGAACCAGAAGTTCATATTATCTATATATGGACTAATTTACTAATTTAGGCATGAACCTTGTTATTTCCTTTTTGTAGGTCACTGGTAAAGCACTTATGCTTGATGAAATCATAAACTATGTGCAGTCATTGCAGCGTCAGGTTGAGGTAAAACCAGTCTTTGCCTATAAGCATCTCACCCAGATGGTCATGATGCTAATTTTTCTTCCTCGTTAAGCATGCTTTATTTATTTAACTTATTCTTTCATTCGCAGTTTTTATCTATGAAACTGGCTTCTGTGAACACCAGGCTGGACTTCAACATTGACAATCTAATCTCAAAAGACGTAAAGTCCTCTAGACTCAACAATGATTTTTTCTATTTTATTCACTAAATTTTTTTTATTTTGCTGAATTGGGATTTTTTTTTTTTCCGTTTCAGATGTTTCAACCAAATACCTCTTTGGCACATCCAATATTCCCTCTAGATTCCTCAGCACAAGCCTTTTATGGGCAACACACTCAGCAAAACCCAGGAATCCACAATAACACTCTTAATGGTGTTATGTCCCACAGCACAGTAGACCCATTAGAAACTGCTTCTCTGTGCCAAAACATGGGCATGCAATTGCCTGCCCTTAATGGCTTTAATGAAGGTGGTTCTCAGGTAAAATCAATGTATACCTTAATTCCTCCATTAAAGTGCCTGTAACAAGCTTGCCCTTTATACTGAGTTCATATTTTGTACTGTGCTGTTGTAATCAATACCATAAATGTAATGCTCATAATTTGAAATTAATTTATCTGTGTCCAATAATTCTCAGTTTCCAGCTGCATTCTGTGAGGATGACCTTCACACCATTGTTCAGATGGGATTTGGCCAAAGTGGAAATGGAAAATCACCCAGTCATTCCCAGGACTTCAACGGTAATACAGGAGAAAAGATAAAACTTTTGAATTTATTGAAAACATCATTTTCATTAGACCCAAGAGATTGATGGTATTATTTATATTCATATATCAATTTTGTTGATTTTGTCCATTGCAGGTTCAAATCAAGTCACCCATCTGAAAGTTGAACCCTAATGACCCTTCCATTGCGCCTGAATTGAGGGTCAGAAAGGAAGATTGCTGTATACAAACAAGAGATTTAATTCCAACAACCCCCATGAATTATTTCTAAGGCCTTTTATCTCTCTAGGTCTATTTTGTAGAACCCCTTTTTTGCTTCCTCCTAAAATTTTATCCCACCCCTTTAATTTCTAATCTTCTGGGGAGCAGCTCTTTCCTTCTCAATTTATATATATATTTTTCATTGTTATAATTGTACAACTATTCAATGTAAAATCTTAGGACTCCCTCCCTCTCTCTCTGGAGATCTGTATTATTCTGTGGTGCAGATTATTATTACCGATGCACCAATTGTAAGATATTATAATTATAATGCTAATTGAAGGTGAAAGCTATTGTTACTTGGTGTGTGTCTTCGAGGTGAATGATTGATTGGATTTCAGACATCAGCATCAAAGGGGAGTGAGAATTCTCGTGCGTGTTAATAAAACTGTGATTAAAGGTCATATCAGTGAAAGGGTGTGAGTTAAATCGCGTAATCTGGTAGATATGATTCTCTCATATTTGTGTTGTAACCAGCTGTATTAGTGGGGTCTCCCCCTTCTGTCTCTCAGAAAAAGTCTAATTACAATGATTAGGACATTTGGTTAACTTGAGAGAGAGAGAAAGAGAGAGCGTTATGGTCAACCATAATTTCTGGCAATTCTTGGACTTCTCTGTAATTTACTCATTTTCTTATCTCCACCAGAAACAGAACCCTCTCTCTCTGTGTGTGTGTGTGTGTGTGTGAGGGGGAAAATTATATAGAAAATCAAATGGGAAGAGTTAGACTTTTATGAGATTTATTTTTGAAGGATTTTTTTATAAAAAATTTCTGCTTCCTTGACCAAAAAAAAAAACCCATGCTATGACTGATATGGTGAGATAGGAATAGGAATAAATTGTCTCATACACTAACTGTCTTCAATGATTAAGAATCTAAAATAAATAAATAATTGTTTTGGGGGGTTGTCAGTGAAATCTAGAGGGTAGGGATTAGAAGTTAGAACTACCCTTTTAAATAAAAGAAATTTTTTAGAGTAATATATGTGGAAGTATTAGACTATTAGGCAGCAAAAGAATCCCAGGCTAGAAGTGGTGAAATTCTGACTAGGCCCAACGAATCAAAGAGCTAAATCATCTCACCAACTTTTGTTATCGATTGTTCATTTCATGAGCTACAATTACATCCATTGACCCAAACCTTCAAATATTCATGTTAACATTTCCTAATTTGTACTAATTAATTGAAACAAAAAAAATACATTACAATTTCTGAAAACATTACAGTTGCTGGTACTTTTTTTTTTGTTGAAAATTACATAAAAGGACTTAAATTCAGTGGGTGCAATTCTTCTTGGGGGGCGTTTGGCAACACCAATAAGTACTTTTAAAAAGTATTTTTCCGCAGAACGAAACAATTTTTTTAAATATTTATTTATATACCGTAAAAATACTTTTAAAATATGGTTTGGTTTTTATCCAAACACCCTTTTTATCTATGTGCATCAATTTTTTAACTCTATACAAATGGTTGAAGATAAATTGCATACACATTAAAAAAAATTGGATGAGTTTATAAATATAATTTTTCCCATTCGGTGAACATGAAAAGGGATCTGTATTGATGTTCCAGGTTAGAAAAAAGGGGCACTTTTATTCTTTCTTTAAGAATGAGAGCTACTTTTTGTGAAAGATTAATTAGCAGAAATCCAGATTTATTGTTTTGCAGCTTTAGCCATTATTCAATTAATATTAATAATAATGCTTTGAATGAGGTGCTGTGCACAGAATAGTTTCACATCATAACGTGTATATAAAATACTTGTTTTATTTTTTTAATTAAAAATAAGATAAATAAATAGTAATAAAAAATTGCTAATCTGACAGCATTTGTCCCCAAAACGAACAATCACCCAATCATATTATGGCGTGTTAGTGATTTATCCTTTCATATTTTAATCCCTTTCTTTGTTGTACATCCTGTTTGATTCTTCCCTGCTATATTTTTTATTTCCATTTTTAACTATAAAATCATTTTTATATTATTCCAGAAAGTTATTTACTTTAATTAAAATATTCCATATATGCTATTCTCATAATATTATTATAGAATTAATGAAATATTTTCAATATATTGTCGAAAAAGCATTTCAATCATATATTGTTTTTTATTAAACTAAAAATTATGTATTTGGTTAACTAATAAATGAAACATAAAGGTCGATATGGAACATATCCAGAGTGGAATTGCTGGGATCCAAATATAAAAGCTTTTTAATAATATTAGTTAATTATAATCAATAATTGATTAGTTTGAGCACTTTTACTTTCTGTTACAATATTTAATCAATTCTTTTGATTCAGATGGTAGTGTGTCCGTCAGAAATTACTGTTTTTAAGGGCACAAAAGATAGATTTGGTGGGTGCAGGCAGCATTTTGGAATCTATTCCTTCATCCTTAATTCACTCCAATTTAACTAATTCATTATTATATTCCTTTTTAATCAAGTTAGTTATTCATTTCCTGAATCCCTGTACTAATTAAACTATGTCATATTTAATAATTAATCTCCATAATATTAAGTATAAAAATATATGCAAAAAATAGCACATATATATTTCTATCTTTTTTTGGTGTAAAAGTGGGGCTTAAATAATAGCATTTATATTAAAAACTAGGGATAATTAATATATAAGTCCTTATAGTTTCAACTGGTTTTTAATCAGGTCCCTATAATTTTTTTTATCAGGTCCTTATACTTTTATATATTTTTAATCAAGTCCTTATAATTTTTTTCTTTTTATCAGGTCTTTATTGTTTTACTTTGTTTTTAATTAGGTCCTTGTAGTTTTTATTCTTTATTTTACAAATAATAAAATTTTAAAAATAATAACTTATTGTAACAATCTTATGTTAATATTCTTTTAAATTTTTAGTTAAACAAATATATTATTTATTTTCAATTTGAATTTTTATAATTATAAAATTCAAATTATAACAATAAATTTTTCTAAAATTAAAATATGATTATAAATAATTTATATTTAAGTATAATTATTATTCTGATCATTTATTAATTACTAAATGATTATATTAATTATTTTTTCCAATTATATAATTATTAATTTAAAAATGAAATTAATTTTAAAGAATAAAGTTAATAAATAATTTTTCAAAAACTACAAAGCACCTAATTAAAAAATAAGCGAAACTATAAGGATCTGATAAAAAAATAGAAGGACCTAATTAAAAACACATGAAAGTAAAAGGATCTGATAAAAAGAAAAAATTTTATAAGGACCCAATTAAAAATCAGATGAAACTATAAGGACCTGAAGATTAATTATCCCTAAAAAATATAATATTATCCCTAAAAACTACTAATAAAGTTATGAGGCAAATCATACTATTGAATACTAATAAATATATAATAAATGTTGTATAAATCAAAATTTTCTCTATTTATGCATGCGCCGCGTTCTTGAATTTCACATTGAAAGGCAAAACAATAGTAAAAGTAAGTTTGTATCAATACCCATCTTCTTTAATTTAGATAGTCAAATTTTAATTTAGAAATACTACATTTCACTTTTTTATTATTTATATTTTTTAAAAACAATTTTGAAACAAAATAAAATAAATATAATTTAAAAGCATAAAAAATAAGTAAAAATAATAAAATTCAGAACTTTATTGCACTCAAATTCTTGGAGTGGTGTACACCACAAAAAGTTTGTACAAATTAGACTTATAAAATATGTAAATACATAAACCAATCAATAAACTTATTAAATGAGACTTTTTTTATTAGCAATTTATTTAAAAATCTATTTGTTAATAAAATATACTAGTATCATACAATCTTAAGATAAATCTCGTTATTGCTATTTTGTGCGCGTGTATATATCCAATTAACAAATTATTCTAACAAAAGAATCATTATGTAATTGATTTTAAGAAAATTACTGCACCGATTTTTTTCTTTAATGCAATTTAAGTTAGTGCACGGATTTTGACTGCATAAAACCAAGTACTTGTGTTGAATTTTTCCTTCAAGGATGCTTTGACACTAAAATTCTAACTGCTTTGAATAACTTCTTTTAATTTCCCACTTACCCTAGAAGATTAAAGGATATTTTCTTACTTTATTACCTTTTTCTTTGTTTCTTTACCTAATTTCAAACACAACATTTCAATCAATCAACAAGGAGGGAAAAATGAGTAAGTTTTGGTGAAGAGGGTTGGGATATTCCAATATCATATATAGTAAAAAGAAGGAAATAAATTTAATTTTTGCAGTTCAATGGTCATAATCAACTACTGAAATTAATGTCCCTAGCTATTATCACAAGGTTAAACACAAAAAGATGAAATTGAAAGGGGTCTTCCAAAATTAGGTTTAGGTCGTCCTTCTAAAACAACAAGTGAAAATGAGGTCCTACCAAACCAGAATGTTTTAAAAAAATTTTAAAAAAAATTATTGTTCTTGTTATTATTATTTTTGGGAGATTTTGTTAGGCACTTTGTACAATGATCATTATTAGGGTAGGGATGCCCTACAAAGTAAAGCTGTTTTTGCTTGGGGTCCCCTTGCTATCTGTTCATGCTTTTTTTCACCTTAGGATCAAGCAAATAATCATTTTTCATTAGAAGAGGTAGTACATAAAAGTTTAAATGTGTAGCCAAATGTCTCCTTGGGTTTTATTATATCAAAGATGAAAATGAAATAATTAAAGATTGATTTGATATTAAGGACCACACTTGAGTATGATTTTTTCCTATATCCCCTTTAGTAGCCTTTTGAATGAAAATATGACACGGACAGATAAAAAATATTATTCAAAACATTTAATTTTGTGATACTTTTATGCTTAGCAACGATGTTCTTAGGATATTATGAATTAAACCACACTCTAATTCATTAACATATTGATTCGATAATCCATTTTAGCTCGATTTTCAAAAGATTGAACTAAAGAAAATATTAAAACAAATATATAGTTTAAGTTCTTTTAAGTTATTTTTAACAAGATTCAAATTTGTAAGTCAAACAAATTAGTTAAAAAAAGATAAATATAATACTTTAAGGTGATTTACTTAACTTATTAATCTTTTCAAATTAATCAACTAGATCTTATGTTAAGCATTGATAGTAGGATATAATTCTTTTGCTAAAGTATCTTTGCTCCTTACACGTAATAGAAATGATATTTTAAAAAAATTAGCATACATTTATTAAAAATAACTGATTTTACTAATTTTCTCAATACCCACCAATTAATTATCTATATTTTATATTAACAACAGAAGAAAGTAGTTGTATTATAAGTTTTTTTAAGTTGGATATGTGCTTAATTG